TTCCACATGTAAATCGAGTACTCGATAGGGAACGTAAAAAGATATTTTAATCTTTTAATAATATTATATTGTGATTGACAGCTAATTTTAATATATTTTTAATACTATATAAATCACAATATGACGCATCTACAATATCTTATAAATTCTTATTCGTAAAAATTTCCAGATGAACACAATTATTACTATTTTTAAAGTCTCTGTCTCATACACATGCTTAAGTGTGTTCGCATGTGCACACATGCTTTCAAACAAGAAACCAATATGAACAAGAGCATTATATTTAATTTGTAACATATTCGACTAGTTAGTATTTATTTACAATTACTGGTGCACAGTTCTTCTACAAGCCTGAAAAAGGTGTCTATGTTACTTTGTATTACAAATTAAGATAACGAATATACGTACTCATTCTTACAGGTCTGGAGCACTACAGGAGCAAATCAGAGTTAGGTTATAAAGGTACAGTAATGTTCTTTCTTTATAACTGTTTCACAGATAATAATAACTTACACAGTAAAGGGAAACACTCAGGCATGTGTATAAATGGACAGCAACAAAAGCTCATCTGAAAGGAAAGCTTACCTCAGTTTCATCTTTTTTTATTGAAAGTGCTGACTGTACATGAACCTCATCAGATATCTTGCAAACGGAATCATTTTCATTTAGAACATCAACATCATTTTCCATTTTGATTATACCAGTGTTCTGCTGAAAAATTAAAAACGAATTATAAAATTGTGTTAGAAACTCTCAAAAATCGAGGAAAATGGTTGTACTCTGAATAATGAATATGAGCAATATTGTAGGAATATGACGATATTCATGCATGCCTGTCATAACAGCTAAACATAAAAAATATAAGTAATTTACATTCACACAGTGTGTGTTATGTACAGAATTCAGTACAGATTACAATCATAGTCGTATATGTTGAAGAATATATTTGAATTGAAGGGCACTCAAAATTAATTTCACCCAGGTACCCTCATGATCTACATATCTACATAAATGGACATGTCAATAAACAGAATATGCATATCTGAGGCACTGATGATCCCCATGCTCTGCATCCTGAAAAATGCACAGGGTGGGACGCTATTTCATCAGATGGATTTTTCATACTGATCTTCCTGGATGACATAAGTAATGCCGCACGCTACTTGCAGATCTTACAAGGCTATTTTGTTCACACTCTCCAAGCCATGGGATAGAACATGGAATTAAAATGTTCCCAACAAGATTGGGCATGACTACATATGTGAAATGTGATTCAGGACATATTGAATGAAAATTCCCATGAAAAGGTCACCTCCGACCAGATATCCTGCATGATTTGGATTTGGATAAACCTGTCAAAATACCCACTTCATCTGAATCTCTGATTATTTTCTTTAGGATACAGTGCCTCTACCAACAGCGAAGTACGAATATTTCTCGTCACTAAAACATGTTATTACATTAATTGTTCTTACCTTAAGTTTCAGAAGTCTTGTTGCTGTTTGAGCAGATCCCAATGACACGCCGGATTGTGCAGCTAAGCTTGCCAAAGATTGCCTTGGACTTTTTTCTAATAGAGCCCCAATTTCATCCAATTTCTCTTCCGTCAATACACTCCGTTTCCTGTTCTTCTTTTTATCCAAAACTGATCCCGTGCTACGAAATTTTTTTACTAATCTCTCTATCATGGACCTGCTAGGAACACATACTCCAGGAAAATGTCGGAAAAATTTACGGCGGCATCTTCCGTAGGAAGAATATTTTGTATATGTTTCGACTAAGAACACACGTTGCTTAATACTATACACCATATTATCAACGTCAATCCGCTACGATAGACGCAATTAAATTGATTCACCAGCGACTCAAGGAATGAACGTGAAAATATACCGCCCACACCAAGAGAGCCGGCCGACCTCGCACTTCAAGCACGACCACAGCGTCATAAATTGAAGTCCCTGTACATTAAAATTAAACCAGTTAATAATGCACAAAATACATAACCTAAATTCAAGTACATCTTCTTCGTGGTTTTCCAAGGCACTATTTTCCTCTACTTTCCGAAGAAATTCAGTGTAGTTCCTGGATTGGAAGTACTTCAAAATGTCTACAGAAGCAGGCACGGAAGGGTAAAAATGCATGTGTAAACACAATTCGTATACTCTTATGAGGTTGTGAACCAGGATGGCCTACATGACAAAAACAATTCATTACACGTGTTAACATGTGACGACTATAGATGGTTCTTGTACCAAGCAATAAGACTTACATACGTAAGTGAATGAATGCCTGTAAAATCAGGAAGAAAATATGTATAACTAAATTGAAGTAAAGGAAAGAAAAGTATTTCACTAGTCCCAAACGCAATGAAAAAATGCTACTGCATTACTTGAAACATAACAAAATTTATATTTGAAAATTATAAAAATAATTTTACAATACAGAAATGTCTCTATATTATGATCAGTTTACACGAGAAAGTGAACGAAATCAAATTCATAGTACAAAATACATTTGATTATTTCCTCACATTGGGAAGAGAAATTAGGTATCCCAGTAAAATTACACAAAATCGGGGAATCGAACATAATGACGATCACACTGACAGAAATATATTCTGGTGAATGGTCGGTGAAGTGACGAACAGGAATAAACAAAAATATATTAAATTATGTACAACATGCCCTTCCACAGATGCTAGGAATTTTGTGACACTCTTTAAAAAGCTGTAGGTCGCAAACATAAACAACTCTAGAAGAAGATAACTGTTTTTTTAGCCTTCTAGCTCATCTTCATAAGAGACGTTACTTTGAACTCACTGAATTAATGAGTATAACCTCACTTTGAATCTTGATGTAGTAAAAATAACATCCCTTACAAAACGATATTTATCAACACACTATCTGTACAAAAAGCTTTGGGCCAAATATTAAACTCTTTTTAAAAACATATTTCTCAATTATATTATTTCCACGCAATGTCTATCGGCAAAGTATCTAAACGCAAAATATATCCGAACAGTATATATTTTTTTCCCGCTACATGGATTCAAATTGGTTTGTTGCTGTGGTAATTTGGTAATCGTTACAGTAAAAACTTCGTAGTAGGGACGAATGTGCCCTGCTTTAATTAGAACAAATCGATTAACTGCTGAATAATTCGCAAATTATGAACATTACTAATAATATATATTACACTAACAATTCCGAATGAAAATTCATGACAAAATCAAGATCAGATTAAGTTCAGGGAATGCTTGTTATTATTCAGTCCAAAATCTATGTCCTAACGCCTAATATAAAAAACAAAGATGAAGGTACACAAAAGTGTAATTTAGGCATAGGAACACTAAATTCCAGGACTATATCAATCGTGTTTTTTTTAAAAGGTCACTTAGTTTCGGATGCTGGATCTAATTCCTTCCTCAGTTTATAAAAGAGGGGATGGAAACCTACTCAGTTAGGTTCACCAAAACGTGTTCCTGGGTCACTGGACTTGAGGATAATGGGAGGGGTTATGTATCACAGAGAAAACTGCACATTGAAGAGCTTTATAGCCTGGAAGATTAAAAATTAGTTGGATCTATAATTGCCCTCCCCCAACCACCTACATAGTGTGTACTTTACTTACCATTCAATACAGTAGTTACTGCTTCTTGCATAAATGATCTGCATTGCCAGAGCACAGATCCCTTTCAGGAAGCACAACTTTTTTAAATGCTTCTGATCTTTGATTGTAGTTCCATGTTCA